TAGTAAGACTATCATAAGTGCTAGTTTTTAATACATTAAATAGGAATAATTCTTTGTCTAAATATACCCCATTACAGTAAGCTTCGCCCCGCCTGCATTAAAGAACTGTTCTGTTGTTCTATTTGGCAGGGGAAAGTGAAGGCTCCTTGAACTCGGGGTGAATATACAAGATTTGCTCCATCAGGTACCTCTGAATGATTATGAATAATCTCTGGTTTTTCAGTAGCTGGAATGAGGCCTGTTCATGGATGATTCTAATTCTTTTTGAAGAATGATTTCAGAAGTTAATGCTGAAGGGAGGGTCTCTATTCAATGCCTCTCATTTAATATATATATACTAGGGCTATGCAAAGCTTCGAAGGTGCATACAAAGCAACACCCCACACTTCTAAAAGCAAAGAAATATTATTGCTTTACTTGATGTAGTTCCAAGCCTTTTTAACAGTTCCAGCAGCTGCACAGAAGTATCTTCTAGTCAGCTACTGGAAACACCCATAAGGTGTGATATGAACTGCTTTTGATAAAACAAATACATCACCTTCGCCTCACATATCCCTAATGCATATAAAACTAGTGGGAGTAGTCAACCATCAAATTTGGGGCAAATGTCACCTATAGGCCAATAAACTCTAATTTAACTCCTCCATTTAAATCTAAGGAAAATACCAGTTTCTAAATAAGTGTTTGATATTGGTTGTAAATAAATCCAGACAATACAATTATTATTTCTGTGAGAAAAGCAAATTAGGTTCACCCTCTCCTTCAAGAATCAGATTCATGATTGGGGTACCTTCCAGAATGATGTCTTCAACCAGATACCCAGGAATCTGGTACAGGTAGTCGTTGGTTAATGACCACTCGTTCAGTAACTGCTCAAAATTATAACGGCACTGAACAAGTGGTACTTACAACTGGTCCTTAAAGTTCTGGCCATCCCAGCACCTTTGCAGTCATGCGATTGTGATCTGGACACTTGGCGACCAGCTCGCACTTACGACAGTTGCAGTGTCCCATGGTCACATGATTGCCATCTGCGACCTTCCCTGCTAGATTCCCACAAGCAAAGTCAATGGGGAAGCTGGCAGGGAACGTTGCAAGTCACTCAGGTAAGTCTCCTGGCCTGGCAGCAGCCACCCCAAGCCTCGCTACACTTGCACCATGCCACAACCTTGCATGCCCTCCCCCGCCTGGCAGCGGCCACCCCAAGCTTTGCTGTGCTCACGTTGTACCAAACCCTCGCGCACCCTCATGCACGTGGCAGCAGCCACCCCAAGCCTCGCTGCAGTTGCACTGTGCCTCCCCAGCTACTTGTGCACCCTCCCTGAGTCTTGTTGTGCTAGCACCACACCTCCCCAGCCACCCACACACCCTCATGTACCCTACGCTGCCAGGCAGTAGCCACTTGCCTGCCTGCCTGCTTGCAAGCCACCTGCTGCCTTCCCCACTGACTTGGTTGGAAGCTGACAGGAAGTTGCAAAGTCCTTGCTTAACAACCTGCAATCTTCACTTAACAACAGCAACGGGGGCTGCAGGGATTGCTGTTGCTAAGTGATGCAGCCACGTGACATCTCACTTTATGACCGCATTGCTTAGCAATGGAAATTCCAGTCCCAATTACCATTGTTAACTGAGGACTACCTGTAGACAGTAGTGCATTTGCACAGCTGAAGTTAGTGTGTTAATTGTTCCCATGTCAGAATTTGATTTGGTGATGAAATTCCTGTTTGGATTATCTTAATGCAGTCTATGTGGGGCTGCCTATGAAAAGTGTTTGGAAACTTCAACTGGTCAGGAATGATGCAGCCAAACTATTGACTAGGACTAGTTACGGGAACAGGTATAGCTTTACTGAGTATTAGATCATTGTGAGACACAAATCAAAGTTCTCGTGTCCTATGAAACGTTATGTAAAGTACTGCATTCACATATACGAACCTATCTGGGTTTTAGGATCCTTAGAAAACATCCTTTTTTCTACCTTGCCATAATCAAGAGGTACTTTTAGTAGGGATATGAAGGTCTTCTCACTTTTCTGGGCCTCTGGAACTTACCCTTTTGTTGGAAGGCAATGCCTTTCTAATCCAGCAGGCTTTTGATGTTTAATGAAAGTTTTTCCTGAAGTCAGTTTTAACTAATGGGTGATAAATAGTCATGTATTTCAGCTTAAATGTTATGGTTAACTACTTTTTGTTCTCTAAAGTGGAAATCATCATCATCATCATCATCATCATCATCATCATCATCATCATCATCATCATCATCATCATCACAGCTTTGCATTCCACTCTATTGAACATAGGCACAGCTAATCTAATGGTAGCATATATTCCCCGTCTCATACAACAAGTAAATTCACCCACACACAGTTAAATGTCGTAAAAAAGAGAATTGGAACCACACATGATTTATTTTAAAAGTCTGAAATACTAACTGTTAGCATAATAATTCTGTTTATCTCTACAGTTTTTTGTAGTGTCTACCCTTATTCTAACTAAGCTTTATTATCTTCCCTTACTTAAAAAAACAAGCAAAACAACCTTCTGCAATTATGCAACTTCACCTGTTTCCAGGTAACCACTGTCAATAAAATCTGAATTCTGTAGTCCAGTACATTATGAAGGATGCAGTAGCATTCAAGCTACTTGGAAATACTGTCATGAAGATGAGTAGGCTGGGCATATTAAAAAAACAAAAACAAAACAGGAATGTTAACATTGCAGGCATAATGACTTACCCTTCCACATTCATTTGGTCAGAATTTAAGTCATTATTTTCAGTGCCATAGTTTGAATGATTTCTTCCTCATAAAAAGAAATCTGTGGAAAAAAGAACCTTTAAAATTTCAAATCTGACACGTCATTTCTGGCAATCTACATGATATGCACAATATATAAATATATTTATGTACATAAATAAAAGTCAAACTTTACAGTCAAAACTAACATAGGTGGTACAAAAATAGCGACTTTGATGAGCATGCAAATACACGAAGCTTCAAATCAAATTTAAGAAGCATCTCTGAGTTGTGGTTTCTTAAAAATAAATTTCAGTTCACATAGATTGTGAAGCAGATTTATCAAGAAAGTCAAATTCTCTAGTAAAGGTATAAAATCTATTAATAAACAGTAAATCCCTATACAGTGCTTTTAGGTGATAAGAGCTTTCAAGTATTTTTCTCTTTTCATCACTACTTCAATATTCAGCTTGATTACTCTTCCACTGAATAAATAAGATCATAGCTCTAAAATTGCTTAGCTATGAATGGTTTGAGAATCACAGCCTGCCAAGTAAAACTGGAGCCCAACGTGAGGGTGAAAATGCTAAGGAAGATGGCTTCCCCCGTATTATGCCTTCAGTTCTGTATATGCTGGTGTTCATGGGCCCCTGATCCTACACTCACTTAAATCAGCTGCATGACACCCTTCTGTTGTATTTAAGGCCAGAAAGAAAGCACCCAGAGATCACATTCGTGCTTAGTAAAGTCTTCAGTCTGGAATGTCAGGGTATACCCTGAAGCATTACCCTGACATGGAACACGTTTAAGGGTGAAATTACTTGATATAGGCTTAGCATGTAGCAAATGTAACTCTAAATGACTTTCTGTCACACATAAAACACTTTTCTCCAAACTTCCCTCTCCAGACTGTACAGGGTAGGACATTAGACTGGGAAAGGCTGTTTCAGAATGGCTGCCTGTCTGCCTTATTCAAACTATCACAAACTTTAAATGTGTGCACAGCTGAGCACAGAATTAGGGTGACTGAGACCACCCATCAGAGATACAATAAACGTGGTTCTCACTGTGTAGGGATAAATGCAAAAGCACAACCATGTGCACTGCAACATACCTCAGTGACTGACATCTGGAAGAGTATTCCTATTTTCCAGGTGATGCTGTGGCTACAATATTCCCTTACAGTTTAGCACTACTTGGAAAGCATGAAGATTTACTAACTCAGTGCTTTCCAAAGTTTTGTTGTCATGCATAAAGTTGGCATAAGAAAGTCTCATCTTCGTTAAAAAGTAAGTTATTTTGTTTATTTTGGAGTGGAAGAGGAGAAGAGACTGAACAGGGTAGTCTTATGTTATATACTGGGTATACATCATGAATCCTGAGGTTCTCAATTGCACACTAGGTTTTAGCCAACATTCCCAGTATGTACAGCCAGCGACAAAAAACCCCCTCTATTTGGCCCATAAATTGTAAAAGACCCCAAAGCATTATGAATATATGAATAGTAGAGCATAGCATTCCCGCCTCTATAGTTTCATTAATAGTACTAGTTCTAACTGCAAGAATTTTAAGTGCACTGTTGTTGATACTGGAATGGAAGCCCTTGGTTAATTGTTTATAATGCCATCACAGTTAACTGCAGGTTGAGGAGTCACAAAAGGCTCATCTACTTTCTGTTCTTCTTTCATGAATGCTGCCTGGTCTGAAATTGAAGAGAAGGACAGTTGGTCATGTTCTGTAATGTGCACTTGGTCTTCTTCCTTGTTTTTCTTCACGTAGAATATTTTCCTAAATTTTTTGAGTTCATGAAGTTCACAGAAAGTCTCTAGAACAACCAGCATTGCAATGAGGCCCAGCAACAGGTAGCCTAGGAAAGAATTATCACAGTACGTGAAATATGAGTTGACCGAATGTATGTCATATCATTCTGAAGTACTGCAAATCTCCAAAGTGGAAAGGACTAATTGCTTTGATCCAGAAGCTCTTAGTGCCCATGCCATGCACAGACACACCTTTTGCATGTCCACATAAAACCTCCCACATTCTCAAAGACTTAAATCAAACAGTAGGACTATTAAGCAGAATTGCACACCATCATGGGTATTGGCTAACATAACTATCAAACATATAAAGAAGGTTTGAACAGCTCTCAGTAGTGCAATTTGACTAATCATGTAATTTCGAAAAAGCTGCTTTGGAGATATGTATTATATATGACCTATCAAAAATGCTTATTCAAATTGTCTGTCTATCTATCTATCTAACTGGTCTACTTCTGTCACTTAGTTTTAAATACTGTAAGGCATCCTG